ATATTATTTATAATTTGAAAACTAGAGCTCTCGCACTTCTGAGTAATTTTATAGTAAGAACCTTAAGTACATAGAAAATATGGGTATTGAACATTGAACAATCAATAATTATCCATTATCTCTAATAAGAAAAATTCTCAAAAGATTAAATTCAATAAAATTAACAACTTTTTTGTAAAATCTCACATATTGGAAAACTATCAGAACAAATAAAAAGAACGTTCAAGGGCCATAAATCTAAGAAAAAAGAAAAAGTCGAAATCACCTTTAAATGCCAAAATACCATATACCTAGTCCTAGCGGCTCGCGACAATTTTCATCGACAAACGGCAAACGGAACACCTACAGGGGTTTGAGAACCATCTTTTTTTTTTTAAATCGCTCGGACCCGTCAATTTTATTTTTAAGCTTCGCATTTTTTAGAGAAAAAAATATACAGGGTGTCCCAAAGTGGTATTACTTGCATCAACTATGTTATTTTATTTGACAACCCTTGGTCCGGATTCCGAACCCACGATTTGATAGTATCGTCTATCTATATAGGCGATACTCTCGAATCGTGGGTTCGGAATCCTGGCCCTGTACATTAATGCATTTTTGTATTCTACGGAGAATTTTGAGCCGCTAGGGGTATGGTATTTTTTTTTATTGTTCTTTGTGATCTAAATAATGTCTAGTAACAATTTGAACCTGTCAGTACGGGCCGTTTTTGAGAAAAGTTGAAAAACATATTTCACCCTCACCCTTAAAAATTTCAAAGACCGAAAGGGCGCAGGGGTATGGTATGTTTTTTTTATTGTTCTATGTGATCTAAATAATGTCTAGTAACAATTTGAACCTGTCAGTACGGGCCGTTTTTGAGAAAAGTTGAAAAACATATTTCACCTTCACCCTTAAAAATTTCAAAGACCGAAGGGGCGCAGGGGTATGGTATATTTTTTTTATTGTTCCATGTGATCTAAATAATGTCTAGTAATAATTTGAACCTGTCAGTACGGGACGTTTTTGAGAAAAGTTGAAAAACATATTTCACCGTATTGCACCCTTAAAAATTTCAAAGTCCGAAGGGGCGCAGGGGTATGGTATTTTTTTTTTATTGTTCCATGTGATCTAAATAATGTCTAGTAATAATTTGAACCTGTCAGTACGGGACGTTTTTGAGAAAAGTTGAAAAACATATTTCACCCTCACCCTTAAAAATTTCAAAGACCGAAAGGGCGCAGGGGTATGGTATATTTTTTTTATTGTTCTATGTGATCTAAATAATGTCTAGTAACAATTTGAACCTGTCAGTACGGGCCGTTTTTGAGAAAAGTTGAAAAACATATTTCACCGTATTGCACCCTTCAAAATTTCAAAGACCGAAGGGGCGCAGGGGTATGGTATATTTTTTTCATTATTCTTTGTGATCTAAATAATGTTTAGTAACAATTTGAACCTGTCAGTACGGGCCCTTTTTGAGAAAAGTTGAAAAACATATTTCACCCTTAAAAATTTCAAAGACCGAAGGCGCGCAGGGGTATGGTATATTTTTTTTATTGTTCCATGTGATCTAAATAATGTCTAGTAATAATTTGAACCTGTCAGTAGGGGACGTTTTTGAGAAAAGTTGAAAAACATATTTCACCGTATTGCACCCTTAAAAATTTCAAAGACCGAAGGGGCGCAGGGGTATGGTATATTTTTTTCATTATTCTTTGTGATCTAAATAATGTTTAGTAACAATTTGAACCTGTCAGTACGGGCCCTTTTTGAGAAAAGTTGAAAAACATATTTTACCCTTAAAATTTCAAAGACCGAAGGGGCGCAGGGGTGTGGTATATTTTTTTTAATGTTCTTTGTGATCTAAATAATGTCTAGTAATAATTTTAACTTGTCAGTACGGACAGTTTTTGAGAAATGCTAAGAAACAGTTTCACCTTCTAAAATTTCAATGACCGTAGATTTGTACCTACTAATAATAAGAAAATATTGAGAATTTTTATGTGATATCCTTAGGGAGCACCTAATAAGCCGATGTTACAAGCAAAGTCTTTACAAGAAATAAAGGTAAAATATACATATAAAAAAAAAAAACGACGCCACTGAACCTTCGGATGTTTTCGGAAAATTGTCTGATAACTTTTGTCTGATAACTTCACATCAGTAAAAAAACTTTCTCTTGAAGACTAACCCAACAGCATTAGTAGAACATAAACTAGAGACAGGACATAACTTCGACTTTGACAACACCACAATCTCACAAACCCATTTTAACTACAGAAAAAACTAATTGCTGAGATTGAGATGATCGAAATACAAAAAGATAAAAATTGCGTCAATAAAAGAACAGATATACAAAGTTTATCAAGTAACGCCTATTTTAACATTTTATCAACAACAAAGCACAAAGCAGCTTTCGTATTAATGTTTTTTAGATTCGGATACCATTCCCTCCTTGGTTTTTCTTTGTTTGCTCCCACGAACGATAACACTATATGTTTTTTTTTTTTCAAAAATGAATTTTATGTATGTTTTCGTTTAAAACAAATCGAGAATTTAAGAGAATAGCGTTTGGAATAGACAAAGATTGGAAGTTATAAAATGAGTAATAATAATGAAATATTAGACCTGAAGACGCCTTTAGGCAAACGTCTGAAAGATGTTGGGTTTTGTAACTTACGACGTCTTCAAGATCTCTTTGAGACGCCTTGAAGACGTAAGTAGACGTCTTGAATGTCGTTTGTAGACATCTTATATAGGTACAAGATGTCTCTGTACTGTCTGGGTATCTGAATTCCATGTAAAGTAGATAAAATTATCTCTCAACCTCTTTTATGCAAACAATTAAATTATGTAGGTATTTCAAATTTCAAATCTGGGTTAGAGCGAAATATCTTCATTTAAAACCTATTTTTATTTAGGTCATGGCTACTCTTTCGCTTAAAATGCAGGAAATGCATTTTTTCCCTTTACATCCAATCACGCAAGTACGTATATTACAAATAGCCGCAGCCACGCTTAACAAAAAGAGTTTCCGTGAAAATGGAAAATAGTTTCCATCGGAATAAATATGCGGCAGCTGGGAATTTCACAACTCCGGAAGCTGAATATAGCTTATCTTGCACGAAACCAAAACGCCGTTGTGGTCGATGCCAAAACGGAGCTATCAAATTTCGCATTTAATGAGCGAAATTAATCGGCGTTGATGGCAAAATCATGGTTAAAACTTAAATTGATTCGAACTCTAACCTTGATGCATATTATTATTGATGTTGAAATTACCATACAGGGTGTCCCAGCCAAGAGTGACCCATTTTAAATGCTTATAACTTTTAAACCAGGTGAGCTAGCTACCTGCGGTTTGTGCCATTCGATTTCTCTTGGTCTAAAGTTTTTTTCTAGTAGGTTTCAAATTTTTTTGAAACTTATACAGGGCGAGTAAAAAAAAATCCGTTTTTCAACATCGAAATTCTCCACTATTTCTAATGGAACACCCTGAATATCACAACAACAATAAAAATATTCATGTTTAGGGTATCCATGTACCAATAGACATCATCCCTTAAACTTGAAGTTTTAGCCGAAAAAAAATCAAAATCGAAATCTTGGTATTTTTGCAAAAACATGCAACTTCATGTTGTAGAAACTTGATATCACTATGGCAAACAATTTTGCAACTGTCTAGCTAGATATCAATTAAGTTAAAATACATTTTTCAAGAAAATTTAACGAGTTCCAAAGTATTTTCTCTGGAACTCATTAAATAGAGATACCCCAACAGTAACAATTTGGTGTGCAATCTCTATTGAGCAAAAATACAGACCATTTTCATTGATGAACCAACAATAACAGAAACTGTATACACTGACATGTTCTTTTTTCCACAGTTAAGACAAGAGGTTATCTTGGATGATATCTATTTTCAGCAGGATTGTGCCCCCACTTCATTATTCTTTAATAGCAAGGGAATCACTAGATATGACATTTGGAGAAAGACGGATAAGGAGAGCTGGACACTTTACTCTCTTGACTTGATAGTTCTAGACTTTTTTCTCTGGGGCTATTTCAAGGAAAGATGCGGTAATACTTTCCTCAAATAGCCTGGAAGATCTTAAGCGGAACATTTGTAATGTCATTGAAGCGATTCTCCAGGAAATTTTACACAATTCATTCAACCATTTACTGATCCATAAATGCCTGGAACATAATGGCTAACATATACATATAGGTTTGATATAGGTACCCACAGCATTTTGTATAGTTTTATGCAGTTTTTATTAACTTTTTACTAAGCAAACATAAGTTCCAAGCTTTGAAAATATGCGTTTGCAAAAATACCAAGATTTCAATTTTGATTTTTTACGGCTAAAACTTCAAGTTTTAGGGACGATGTCTATTGGTACATGGATACCTTAAACATGAATCTTTTTTTTTGACGTTGTGATATACAGGGTGTTCCATTAGAAATAGTGGAGAATTTCGATGTTGAAAAACGGATTTTTTTTACTCGCCCTGTATAAGTTTAAAAAAAATTTGAAACCTACTAGAAAAAAATTCAGGCCAAGAGAAATCGAATGGCGCAAACCGCAGATAGCTAGCACACCTGGTTTAAAAGTTATAAGCATTTGAAATGGGTCACTCTCGGCTGGGACACCCTGTATTACAAAAATAGTCAACGTATTGACATTGGCATTGGTCGAATATAATGAAATCTAACTCCAAAAACTATTAACCCATCCTCATCCACAACATGGCACAACCTTTTGCATTAATTTTTACGAAAACTTTTTAAACCTCATTAACAAGCAAACTTTCTTTCGTGCTTAAAACCACTTAAAATTCCCGTCAACTACTAAAGAAATATTTGCAAAACGTTAAATTAAACCCCAGATTTAATTAAAAATTAAAATGAAAAAAGACCTAAAACTTTTCCGACACGAACATTTCCGTCGCCACTTTCCCCATCTACATAAAAACATTTCATTCATTTAATATATCGATTATTTTATTTGTCGTAGGAGAACTGATTCTTGCAACTCCCATATCACAAATACTATCATTCCCACTACAAGGACAGCCAATCCTCATTAAAGTTACCGCAGAAGAAGTACGATCGAGTTCAGAAGAAGCGCCTTCGCAATCTACAACTGTCCAGTTAGCTTTAATTCCTCCAGGTATTACTTTGGGTTCTCCCACCTTTGGAGCCATCGAATACCATGCCTTGCTTGATGAAAATTCACCAGTTGGTACTATGCTGGATATACCACAAGCTGAAATAACCACTGAACCTGGTGACGTTGTGACTCTAGAATTAGTCAACAGCAATGGAACATTTGATATAGCGCCAAGTGTTGTAGAAGGGTTTTCCAAATTTAGAATAAGCGTAAGAGCCTTCAAATCATTTATATAATGAAAGTATATCATACGAAGTTATTTTAGGTTCACGACAATCGGCTTTTGGACTATGAGGTAAGACATTACGTAGAATGCTATATTGTTGCAAAAGAGCTGGGAAAAGGCAACTATACAGCAAGAGCTAAACTTACTGTGGTATTAAATGACGTGAATGATAATCCTCCGCAATTTGTGAAAGCAGAGTTCGAAGGAAAAGTACCTGGTAAATATTATTAAAAATTATTTTTAAAATTACTTAAGTTTTTATTGTAGAAGGTGCAGCTATTGGAACGACTGTTTTGAATGTGGAAGCTACAGACGTTGATAGAGAACCAGGAAGTAAAATCAGTTATATTGCATTAACTGGGCCAGGCAGTGACCTCTTTAAGTAAGATTTTGAGCCTAATAGACATTTGAATAAACCAAGCAAATATTTCCAGTCTAGATCGTGAAACAGGTGTAATAACAGTAGTTAACTCAGAAAACTTAGACGCAGAAACTTACCCAAAAATCTCGTTGGAAGTCAAAGCAGCAGACGAAAACGGCAAAGGCCTTTCAGCAACTTCAAAAGTGATTATAACTGTTTTAGACATCAACGACAATGCTCCACAATTCGAAAAAGAAATTTATGAATTTATTTTGAACACAGATCGTACTTCATTCACTACTCAAGCTTTTGTAAAGGCTTTTGACAATGATATTTCCATGCCCAATAATGAAGTTAGATATCAGTTTTTAACTCCCAGTGATGATTTGTTTATAAATGAAAAAACTGGTGAAATTTTAGTTAAAAAAATGTGGGACCATGATGAACTTGTGACGTTAAGAGTAGGAGCTTATGATGAAGGAGTACCAAGATTAAATACAGATGCAGAGGTGAAGTTCAATTAAATATGAATTTATTATAAAAAGTATTCTTCTCAGGTCCGGATTTATCCTCCAGAAAAGTCTAGAAAAATGATCTTCATAGTGCCAGGAAAATTTCCAGACAAACGTAACACTGAGCACACTCTAAGCACTGTTACTGGTGGTCGGGTCGTTATAGACGAGGTAAGGCCCTATACCGGATTCGAACCCGGTGCCACTTATGTAACCAGAGATCAAAATGGAGACAAGTAAGCTACACATTTCAATTTAATTCTTCCAAATAAATCCATTTTTTTAATTGCAGAAGTGTTGTGGTAGCAACAGTACACTACGTCAAAGATTCGGTGGTAGACGTCAACCGAATACAGCAACTTTTAGATGATCAAAATCAACAAAAAGTCACCAATCAAAATCAAGAAACAATAATAAAGGAGAGAGAAGAAACCAAAATTCAACAAAGCTCTAGCGGGGATCTTTTATGGCTATTGATACTATTTATTGTGCTTGCGATATTGGCCGCCATTATTTTGATTTTGTGTTGTATCTGCAGACCGTGTCCACTTTATATACCGCCTAAACGGAGAAAAGTTAATAGTGCGGATATTGTGGAGAAATTGGTTGTCAAAGGTAAGCACCTAAATCAAATCAAATCAAAATATGATTTTCTCTTCGAACATTGAATGATATACTTATTCATTCTTGCTCGCTATTAAACTGATTATTGATACGAATTCTACACGCCCTGTGGATTACAAACCGGAATCCACGGCCTATCGACCGATCAAATTCTACGTATTTTCGGAATACACAGGTCGCAACGAGACAATACAAACAAAACATGACTGACGACTACTGTCAGATCACGAAACTTTCGTTTACAAAAAAAAATTGGACTTTTGATGATTGTTATTTTTTACAAAAAATAATGATTTTCTTTCAGAAAGTTCAAAGAGAAAGTTAAGTCTTGCTATCATTATATGCTCGGTGAAGAATATACTATTCTCGATTCTGATGTCAGAATGTCATTATTCTCGCACGCAAAATCATTGAAGAATGAAGCTCATTCTTGAACGATTTTTAGTGACATTTAGTTTTCAAAGTATGCCTGTTGGTAGCTTCAAAATTGTCAAACCTTCTAACATAATGTAATCCACCTGTCAGTTAGTTGGTAAGTGAGTTACCAACTGAAATATTTTGCTGAAAAAAATCGGCAATCAATAGCAACCACAAAATTTTTTAAAAAAAAATGGAAAATAAAATCCAAAATCGAGAAAATAAACTACTCAACAATAGGTTCATTATGACGCAACTTTCTGAGCGTCATAATTTGTAAACCTTTAAAACAATAATTGTTTTCTCAATCTCTTGATATTTGCTGCCATCAACAGGTGTAGCGAAGTCTAGATTCAATAAGTGCAAAATAAACTGACCTCCCAACCGCGGCACCTAGTTTCCGAGTAGACAGCTTCACAGCAAAGCAGCCTGAAGATATTTTCTTTGCTAAAGAAAGAATATGATACTCCAATTTTAGTTCACGATCAATTGTAAGCCCAAGACACACTTGGAACAGGAGCACTCCCAACAACCAAACCATCCAAAGCACATCTAAAAGCAACCACCTTAGTCTTGTCAAGGTTGAAAGACAACATATTGGCATCACACCAAATCCTAACTAGTTTCAAATCTGACGCAATACTGGCACTCAATGGAACAACATCTGAGCAGTGCCACACAATGGTCGTGTCTTTCGCGAAAATAGTAAATTTGCCCCTAATTTTCAGACCAGCCAAGTCATTTATATACAAAAGAAAGAGGAGGGGTCCAAGCATCGAACCCTGAAGTACCCCCCAGTTAATGACATGCGATGATGAACATGAAGCTCCCACATGGCACATAGACATGTTGCGTTCGTCCACTCAAGTAAGACTGAAATTAAGAAAGAGCCACCCCTCTGATGCCATACTGGCTGAGTTTACGCAGCAGAATATCATGGCTACCACAGTCAAACGCTTTCGACAGGTCGCAAAAAACTGCCGCGGTCACTCCCCCATCATTAATGTGGCTGAAAAGCATACTGAGCAAATGAAACAGAGCGTCAGCCGTACCCCTGCCCCCTCGAAATCCAAACTGAACAGCTCTCAGTATATTGTTCCTGCTTAAAAACGATGACAGTCTTTGTTTTTACCATTTTTTCGATTATTTTCGATAACGTTGACAGAAGTACAGAAGCGCACTAGGACGAAAGTTATATAGATGGATTATCAAGCAGTTTTTAAGACTGTGGAAAAAACACCATTCAGCCCAAATGAGTTTATACCTTCCACGATAGGGATGTGTAGTACATGAACGAACTAGTACAATTGTACTGATCCTCAAATGTACTATATGTACTAGTACCATAACATTCCCTAATATTATAGTACATTCTTTTCATCGTAACAGAAAGTACCGAAGCGAAGGGTAGAAGAGAATAATCGATTTTTTTAGAATGGAGAACGCGCTAGACTGGCCCCTTAGAAAACGTGTTGCGCGTTGTAATTATTCATTTTTCAATTTTCATTCCTATTTTGCATTAAAATTAATTGTTCAATTCAATTTGTTATTAGTGTGTGTGTGCAAGGAGCGTACAGGTTAGTGGATTAATTATTATTTGGTCTCGATAAATGACCCTGTAATCAGGATTTTACTTGATTAGGTAATTCGAATTCATTCACATGACTCTTGAAAATAAAAGCACAGGTTTTCACTTGTCGTTTTGTAACTGCGTTCAAGTGGATAGGTAGTTTTTATTTGTCTACACGCATCATTTAATACGCGGCGTCCTTCCTGACTGTGTGGGTTTTTTTTTTAAAGAAAATGGAACCTATTAAACGCAAACACAAAACTTTAAGTCTCAACGAAAAGTTAGCGATTATAGACGAGTTTTCAAATAAATATAAAGTTTTTTGCTTAAATACAGCATGTTATTTTTTCAAAATAGTTTTAAAAGCGAACTGTAAAATGCCTTAGTAATCCGAATAATTTGATAATCCGGATTGTTCTGGTTTTAATTGATCCGGATTATCGTGACACTACTGTATTATTTTTTTTCCAATTTTTATGTTTTTTTTTGTTTGTTTATACCAATTTTTTATAACATGTGCATTGTTTATGTATTTAGCCAAAATCGTTTCATACTGTAAAGAACACAGATAAAGAAGTAAATTAAAACCTAAGAAATTATGTGCTGAGATTTTGATTTTGTGGATTTAGAGCGTGCATTAGAGCCTTGTTGAATTTACTAACATTTTCCTACCCTGACGAGAGAATATCCTAACAAATTGAAATAATCAATCTAGAGATATTGGCTCAAAAACAATTATAGCTGATTAGCTTTCCGTATGGGACCTCAGTACCTGCTGGGAAACTGGCTAACTAACCAAAAACTCTTCAGTTTAGAATACAGGTAGTGTTGATTGAATGTAGTGTGTGTAATTGAAATTTTAGCAAAAGAACAGGGGCGGTACCTAGTTTCAGCTTTTATTGAATTAATGACTCACAATGACACAGTATGTTTCGATTTTTGGGGAATCGAGGTTTTCTCTTCCGTTCTCTTTTTTCTCGTTAATTCCAGGTCGAGAACGGTACGTTTTTCTTTAAAAATAAAGGAGGCGTTTCACCAATTTTGCCTTTCTTTTACATATTACAGCTTCCCTTAAATTTCCCAAATATTTGCTATGTCGGGCGCATGTCCAGTAAGTAAAATTGAGTAAGTTTCCACAACGTAGGTCCTATTTGTTTCTCATTTCATTTTTCAGAAGATTTGTTGTTTTAAAGGTAATAAAAATTCTCATCGTTCAATCTTACTGAGCGATGAGAAAAAATTATAATAAAGAAGTTTGAAACTGATAGAAAACAAAAATCTATGAGCACGGAATGTGGAGAAACCTACTTAACCAACCGGCTTAACCAGAAGCACCCAAAAGCACAAACGGAAGACAATTTTTATAACCCGGATAACCAAAAACACAAACGGTATGTTACTTTGAGCAAATAAATCATTAATTTTATTTTTGTGAAATACTGAATTAAGTTTCTATATGTATTTTTTGCATTTTTCTTCCTTGTTTCCCTTTTTCGTAAGTATTTGGAGATGTACTAAAGAATTAATACATTGTACTAGTACATTTTGAGGATTCAGTATTACTGAACTAGTTCATTAAAAAGTACTAAAAATCGAATCCCTATTCCACGAGCACTGTCAAAACAGAATCAGGCATTAGCAGATAGACAATCAGTTTCACATGAGTCCTTGTTCTTAACGGATAGAAGTGTCGTCTTAGGTTCCACCAAATCCGCAGGCAAAAAGTAGAAGAAATTTCCAACGGAGATATCTGATAGATACTAGATACTAAAGTGGATCCACAGACGGCAATACAGGGTGTCCATCTATAAACTGACACATTTTACCTGCTCATAAGTCGAGAACGAAAAAAGATATCGATATGCGGTTTTCACAGAACTTCATCAATCATCAAGTTTTTTTTTGGCAGTGTTGCCGAGTTTCAAAATTTACCCGAAGTGAGAGGAAAAAAAAAAGATGATTTTCAAAGGCCGATTTCGCAGAAGTTTTAAATGGAACACCCTATACTTTTTAATTTTACATGAAAGCCTGTAAACTCTCCTTTCTGAAAATCCATGAATTGTTTTTCATTGCTTTCATTTTTCTTTGTCCGGAGCCAATTTTAGTAAATGACCCCTTTTTGACAGTTTTGCGCTGTTGTCATTTTTATAAAAAGTATTTATTTTATGTACTAAAAAACTATTAAACAATACTAATAAATAAAAACTGACACACAGTAACAATAACCACTACTTATAGCAATTTTAACAACAAACAATTGAAGAAATTAATTCTAATTTATAATTAATAATTTAGCCGCTGTACATATATGACCCCATTTTGCTCGCAACACATATGTAAACGCAGAAATAAGTTGTTGAAGGCGTTTTGTAGCAAATTTCTTGGGGTTGGATTGAAGCAACGTTCCTCTACATATCCTCATATAATAAAATCTGGAATGGTTAGATCGGGAGAATAGGGTGCCCACTCGTTTGGACCTGCTCGCCCTATCCATTTGTTTCCAAAAGTAGTATCTAAGGAATCCCTTGCGACCCTGGAAAAGTGTGGTGGTGCACCGTCTTGCTGAAAATAGACCTTCCTGCTGAAGTTGAGGATAAAAGAATGTTTCGAACATATCGGTGTAATTGTTTCCATTCATTGTTGCTTCTTGAAAAAAATGGACGATGAATTTTAGATTTCGATACTGCACACCAAAGGTTCAGCTTAGGAACATCTCTTTCAAATTAGTTATAAGCTTTGGATGAGATTTTTTTATATGGGAATCCAACCCCAAGAAATTTGGATGAATTGCGCAACAACATAGTAAACGTTTTTAACCAAATTACACCACAAATGCTACAAAACGCCTTCAACAATTTATTTCTGCGTTTACATATGTGTGCAAATTGGCAAAATGGGGCTCTCATACAGCAGCTAATTTATTAGTTATAAATTAGAATTAATTTCTTCAATTGTTTGTTGGTAAAATTATTTTATCCCATTTTGACGTTTAAAAATGACATTA